GCCCCTCGCCGCCCGCCGCGTCCCGGCGCGCGCTGGAGTGGGGTCGGGCCCGTGCGCCTGCCTCCCGCGCCCTCTCCCGAGTCCCGGAGTCCTAGTGAAAGGAAAGGGGAGGGCGCGGGCGGGGGAGGGGGAGGGTCGGAGCGCGGCGCGGTCGAGCCGAGCGGGGACCGCCACTCCGCCAGCTGCTTCAGAGGGGGCGGCCACACGGCTCCCTCCCGGCCCGGGAGCCGCTTCCCGCGGGAGCGGGAGGAAGCGCAGCCTGGAGCGGGCGGGCGAGCGAGCGACCTCTCCCGCCACCCCCGCGCTCGGGGGATTTCGGTCAATTGGAGGGAGCGGGGCTCTGGCCGGGGTAGATGGCCAACAGTTCGTGGAGGCCGCTCGGGGACCGCTCGCCGCTCCCCGCGCCCCTCCCTCTCCCCAGCGCCCTCGCGGCCCAGTAGCTCCTGCGCGCCCGAGTCAACCGCGGAGACTGGGCGGCCGCGGGGACCGCCGCGGGCTCGGCGCCGCTTCCCGGGCTCAACACTGCCACTATCTGACACAACAGGAGCAGTGTTGGGGGGAACTGCGCCGAGGCGCGAGATGTGATAGGTTCTGGGTGCGTTTTTTTTTTTTTTTTTTCAATCTGATAATTACATTTCTCTCTCAGGGATTTATTTTTTTGTTAAGCTACATGTATGCTTTCGGATGCTCATGTGCATTTTTTCGTTATTCAAGAGAAGTGTAGTCTTGATGAGGGGAAGGACAAGGAGAGATAATAAACGCACATTCGTGTACAGTTCCCTATGCAGGGTGGTGAGACTGAATAAGGTGGTGTCTTCAGTTCATACCAAAATAGAGGTATTTTTCATCGCTTTGTGAGTTGGGCTGCAATATAAGGCCTTTTCAGGACAACGGAGGAATCAAACCCTGCAGGGATAATTCTACATTATAGGACAATACAGGACGGACAGAGTTGGTTTTGCTTCAAGACCTCCAGGTAGAGTTTACACAAAACTCATTCTGAGAAGATACCTGACTACCAGGTTCTATATAAGAGTTTTTGGAAATCTGGGTCGAGGAATGATTGGAAGGTGAGTGTGGGATGTGCCTTCACCAACCATGTCAGCCACTGCCTACCTGGTTCCACTCCTGGTTTGGTCACAGAACTTCTTCAGGTCTCATCACTCTTCACAGGAATTCTGCAGTGCAGTGGGGGGTGGAGGGAGACTGGGTCAGAGGACCCCCCCAACTCTGTCCTGGTGGGCTCTGTAGATGGGGTTCAATCTGATTCTGAACTGATACTACAGTCCTCTCTGACCCAAGAGCCCTCGTGTCATCTTTTTTTCAGAGGAATGTTCTGATTAGCCACAAACTTTTCCTCTGTTACTCATCATTGCAAGACCTGGGTTGGAGCAAGTTTTCGATAGATCTTTTGCTAGGTTTTATACTGGAGTATGGTTGTGTTGTTGCTGGGTTACCTTGAGTCCATTTCTACTCATAACAACTCGATAGGACAGAGTAGAACTGCCCCGTAGGGTTTCCCAGGCTGTAATCTTTACAGGAGCAGATCTCCAGGTCTTTTCTCCCACTCGGCAGCTGGTAGGTTTAAACTGTCGGTCTTAACAGCTAAGCGCTTAACCGTTGTGCCACCAGGGCTCCTAGGAGTACGGTTGTTGTTGCTGTTGTTGTTAGGTGCAGTTGAGTGGGTTCCAACTCATAGGGACCCTGTCTGTGTACAACAGAACAAAACACGGCCCAATCCTGCACCATCCTCACAATCGTTCTATGCTTGAGCCCATTGTTGTAGCCACTGTGTCAGTCCATCTCGTTGAGGGTCTTCATCTTTTTCGCTGACCCTCTACCAAGTATGACGCCCTTCTCCAGGGACTGGTTCCTCCTGATAATATGTCCAAAGTATGTGAGATGAAGTCTCACTATCCTCGCCTCTAATGAGCATTCTGGCTGTACTTCTTCCAAGACAGATTTGTTTGTTCTTCTGGCAGTCTATGGTATATTCAATATTCTTTGCCAACACCATAATTGAAAGGTATCAATCCTTCGTTGGTCTTCCATATTCATTGTCTAGTTATCACATGCATATGAGGTGATTGAAAACACCATGGCTTGGGTCAGGCACACCTGAGTCCTTAAAGTGACATCTTTGCTTTTTAACACTCTGAGGAGGTCTTTTGCCGCAGATTTGCGCAACGCAGTGCATCACTTGATTTCTTGACTGCTGCTTCCATGGGTGTTGATTGTGGATCCAAGTAAAATGAAATCCTTGACAAAGTCAATTTTTCTCCGTTTATCGTGATGTTGCTTATTGGTCCAGTTGTGAGGATTTTTGTTTTCTTAATGTTGAGATGTAATCCATACTGAAGGCTGTAGCCTTTAATCTTCATCAGTAAGTGCTTCAAGTCCTCTTCCCTTTCAGCATGTATGGATAGTAGTGAGAAAAGCAATGCTTAATTAGGAAAAAAAAATCAGCAGGGGTTATGAGCTGGTGTTATGTAATAGAAATCAAGGCACAAAGTACTAATGTCAAACAACCATTCTCTTTATTCAGATAACATTTGCCCATTTGCATGTGTAAATGATTGTGAAATCATAGATCAAAGCCCATGGAGAACTAAAATAGCATGTAGGTCATTTCCTATGCTTTCCAAACGGGGAAATTGAGTCCCAGAAATCAGAAAGACTTGCCCATGGTCACACAGCTGGCTGTATCATCCGAGCCAGAACTAAAGGCTTGTTGCCCAAGTCCTTTCTGTTCTATCACCTAGGCATATTCACAGGTCTTCCTGTGTTGTTCCATTTACTTGAAAAACAGTTCAGAAAAGCACATGCCTTGTTAAAAATTCACTATAATAGATGGTAAGTTGGTCCATAGAATTATAGATTTAGTGTAGTAAAAGTTCACCTGGGAGATCACCTAGTCCAACCCCATCATCTTAAAGCAGAGGAAACACAAGAAAGAGATTAAATGGACTGCCTGGGGTCACACAGTTAAGACAAAGCCATGAATAGACTCCATGTCCCCTGAATTCTTATCCAGGGGACCTTTCCTACGAGTAGCCCATCTTTTGATCGTGAGATGTGAGAGGAGGGGAAGGAAAAGGGAGATCATATCACTCTTTGTAATATGTACATATATATATATAATACATGGTATATATTGAAAATGTAATATATATGTATATGTAAATATATATATTTAGTATATATGATATAAAATAAAATGGTGGCACAAAGGGTTAAGCGCTTGACTACTAGCTGAATAGATGGCGGTTCAAACCCACCCAGAGGCACCTTGGAAGACAGGCCTGGCAATTTGTTTCCAAAATGTCACAGCCTTGACAACCCTATGGAATATTTCTACTCTGCACACATGAGTTTGCCATGAGTCAGAATTGACTCAATGGCAACTAACAAACAAAAAAATATATAATTATAATAGATTATAATTTATTAGTTAATCATATTAATGTAATTATTATTAATATGAATATAATTTATATATGTATAAATAAATATATAAAAAGAGAATGGTTGTCTGGTATTAGTATTTTGTGCTTTGATTTCTACTTTGAATCACCAGATCATAACCCCTTCTTATAAATTACATGTAATATATATTAAAGATACATAATTTTTAATATATAGTAATAAAAGAGTTCTGAAAACTAAAGCCCCACTCCTGAACTATATGTCTGCTGATAGAATGGGGCCTATGCTTAAATCCTAGCTGAATGTCACAGGAATTCTTCTCATCCTCTTTTCTTTGTGGACGAATTTTTGATTGAGAACCAGACTCTGAAACACAAAGTCTAAAGCTGGTAAAGAAGCTAGCCTGAAAATTAGT